GGTTATTGTTTGGAGGGAGAGTCCCCCTCGCCTACAGGAAGCCACGTGTCAGAGCAGGGAAGATGGCCACGGGTCGTGTTTGTCACCCGATGTGGAGTCCACGAACGGAAGGAAAATTTTGCAAACGGTGCTGTTCGTGAACTGAATTGTTCGTGAACAGAAGCGTTCATGAACCGAGGTATTACTGTACTCTGCATGAATGTTTTACTGCACACTCTGAAGCCTATTTATTCAGAAGGGTCTCTTAGAGTTTTAAAAATGAGGGAGTTTAATTTTTAATCTGAGAGTATCTAATGTAGCGGTTTACTAAATCCACTATTAGATTGTGGTCTCTATAGTCGGAGTCCCATTTTGGAATGAGATTGCATTGCTGTGTAGTAGAAAATGATGGTTGGTCTCTGGCCCTGCTGAAGGAGAGGGCTTTAATTTGCACGGATGATTTTGAGCAAAGCTATCTTAGGGGAAGAATGTGTTTTAAGAAGAGAAAACCTAATCAACAGAACCACCACCTTTTCTTGAATTTACTCTACCTGGAAGTTCTTCTTTATAATCCTTATATAAGCTGCCTTTGGTTGTTTAGTGGAAAAGAACAAACCCTGCCCACATCCTCAGATGTGGCTTCTACGGCATTATATTCTGTGAACCTATCAGTAGTTTGTGGATGAGCAGTTGGAAATAATCAATTTAAGGCAGTCCCTAGTAGTTTGTAGAAAAGGGCTTAGAGAAGAATTGCTGTTGTGGAACCGACGCCCCCCCCCGCCCCCCAAAAGAGCAGGCACCACTGCTGAAATAGATTATAGAAAAATGTTTGTGAAGGATCCTTAAAGAAAAGAGAAAAAAGGAAGAAACCTTATTACACTCTAGGTTTGGACATGAACTAACACATCCTGTTTTCCGTGCAGTGGGCAAGTGTAATGGTATATGGGAATGACCTTGGGAGACAGGGAGAGAGCATAGCCCACAGCTGCATATGGGCAGAGCAAGAGACTCAGGAGGGACCCTCCCTAAGTTACCGGGCTGTAAAGGGGACAACGGGAGAATTGCACTTTGAGACTTGCAAGCTTCTGTTAATGTAGCCTTACAATAAAGTAGAATTAGCTCATCTGGTCATGTTTCCTGTCTGGTCTACCGGGGAAGGCTGACAGCAAGGGAAGGTGAATAACTAAGGAATAAGCACTGCAATCCATCCCTTTTGTCCATGTGTTTTGACATCTCAAAATGTATGTAAGGGGTGATGTTGATGTCATGATGCTTGTTTCATCTTTCTGAAACAGCCATTGGAATTTGAGGACACCTTTGGAATATGTTCCACGTGTGGTCAACAGCGAGGGAAGGTAAGAAGAAGGTATGTGAAGTGCCGTGACAAATAGTGATTCTACCCTTTTAAAATTTATTTAGTGCCATGGAAATAGAGGGGCTTAATTCTGCCGAGTCCGCCGTCAGCCAGCAGATGAGTCTCAGCACTGGAGATGACAGCACTGGCAGCTGGTCCAACCTGAGTTTTGATGATGAACATCCAGATGAGAACAGCAGCTTTCTCCACCTCAGCGATAGGTAACTAATATTTCTAATATTGGCTGATTATGCGCCGCCAAATCACTGTCAACTCTTAGTGACCACATAGACAGAACTTCTCCAGAATTAATTTTTAATTTACAGTCTTAATGACATGGCTTACCCACCCTTCTTGCATTGTTAAGGTTCACTGTTGAATTTAATTGTAGCTTGAGAAAAAACGTGTTTTTAAATGTCAAATGGTTTAGTTGGGAGATAAGGTATTTATCTCTTTATTATATATAAAAGCAAGTTCTTAGTGAGTTTCTACCTTGGTTGGTTCAGCATGGGAATGAGGATCAAGTTGTTTTTTGTAGAACATTTGTTAATTAAGCCCAGTATTTTGACTTCTGTATATAATGAATTAAAACCATTGTCTACAACTGGGTGTCAGGTTTTCCTTCAAATTATTTGGATGGAAGTGATTGTATCATACTTAAAGCACTGTAAATAGTTGATGATCTGTATAATTCAGAAGCATGTGTAGCAACAGGTTAATGCAAATTGGTTATAAGAAACCAACCCAAATCTCTAGTGCTGAGAGTGGGGAGGTCTCATTATATAGGCTCAATTTTCAAATCCTATGCTGATAGCACTCCCCAGTAACCTTTGTAATACCATTTCTATTGCTACACATAGTTTCTGGAAAATAGTTCTTTGGCAACAGTGCAATGTTTGCATATGCTAATATTGTGCACAAATGTAAGACATGTATAACCAGTTATCATGACACAGCATACTTCGCCGTAGAGTTTTCAATTTGACTTTGCAAATCACAATTACTTCAAAAGCTGGGGCAATTTTTTAGTTTTCAAGATAGGCATTACATTTACATGGCTTTGCAATATGCTCATGGGACAATTGTGATGTTGAGCTGTCCCTAAAAGCCAGGGGTAACCTGAGCGATGTCAGTAAAAATTGCTAGCAAGATTGATGCTAAGGGGAACTCAGATCCTCAGGTCAAAGACTTTGAGAGTTTTTGATGAAATAGTGTTTCAGTTTTCTTCTGTGGCTATTGTTTGACTGCTGTTGGCTTTATTTGATTATCTAGTTGTATTATAGAGGGAAGCTGATCTGTATGATGCTTAAGTTTCCGTGGTTTTGCAGTTTCAACTTTATAAACCACACAGAGCATGTTGAGTGGGTAGTAGCAACTGACAAGAGTATGTTCCATATTTCACAAAGTTAGGAGAAGGCATAACTTTGACATGCACTTTGATATACAGTTCAGAAAGAACATTATTTCTGAACTTTGATATACAGTTCAGAAAGAACATCCATCCTGAATGGGAGAAGTAACTGCACTGAGACATTCTGTGTAGATTCTTTATTTTATAGCAACTTAAGAGCTGCACAGATGCAGCTACCTAAATGAAGTAGACTTATCCACTGTTGCAGATACTATTCTCTTTCTTCTTGCCTTTGGTCTTCCATGAACTACATCTAAGGGGTCTAACCTATTTGTTCCGTATCATTAAAGCATTACAAAACAAATGAATGAATATTTCTTTCCCTGCATTCAGATGCTGTTTGTTTGGGCTCGTTCATTGCATATTCATGCTTTCTTTAAAAAAAAACAAAAAACCCAACATGCTTTAATGCATTTATATTGTGTCTTTTTATGTAATATAATTCAGGAAGGCATGCATTGAGACATTACTTAGCTTCAGTAAGAGGGCTGCACTGTGGCTCTTCAGATAAATTCCACCTTCCATTTTCTGTCAGTTCAATACTGTTTTCTGGATGCGTTATGATCATTGTTCTGTTCCATGATTGCTGTTTTAAATAGAGTTGGTCATAAGTTTTAGATACGATTTTACCATTTTATTGCTGTACCATGCTTTGAGTTTTTTGTTGAGATAGGAAAAGTACATGTTTTCAAATAAATGTAACCTGGGTTTGTGTGGAAAGTTTGTCAGCATGAAGTATCCGACCATTGGACTCCCTGTATTGTTTCTTGGCCGTATGGCTTTTCCGTTTTCTTTAAGCTTTTCAGTACATTCTGTAAGGAAAAGTTTAGTTTGTGTATTGATAATGTGCTTGCTTCAGACTCTTTTTATATTTAGTATATTGCAGAAGGAGAGTCCTTTTCAAATGGAAGGACTTTTTTTTCTTTTCAAAACTAGAGGCAGTTCTCAGAATGGAGAAAGAAGAAGCTGAGTATCAAGGCTAAGGAACAGCATTTTTGAACCTTTGAAGAAAAGGTTGCAATTTACAAAAAGCTGGAAAAAGTTCATGGATGGAAGGGGGGGGGGTTCAGCTTCAGACATAATGTTATCCTAGGCGATTGTTAACCTATGTACTTAGAATAAATAAATCAATAAGCATTATCTTGTAGTTTGTCTGAACTTTATATTTCCCTTTACATTTTTCTGTGGGAGATCCTTTTAAGTCAGAGATTTGAAGAAATCTGTATTTTTATCTCCTTTGCCACAGAATATATTCCTTGTGAATATTTAAAGTCAAGAAGGGATTCTTATGTTTTTTCTCACCCTTGCTCTTTCTTTAATAAAGTTTTATTCTATTTATCTCTTGTAAGATTGGTCTATCTCCCAGAAAGAAAAGAAAGAAGATGAAGCTGATGTCCCTAGAATATACCTCAACACTTTCGGGTCAACAAGTAGCTCCATAGAATTTATTTCATTTTTTTCTCCCTTTCTTCCTTTTAAACTGCCAGAAAGTAGGACTGGGTATGGGAGCTTTCATGCACACCAGAGTTAGTGGGGAAGACGCTAGTAAGGTGGTGGCAGCAAGAACTCTTAAGCTGTACACTAAGACAAATGGCAGAACTAGGGTGTGCATTTCCAGAGGGTTTCTGGGACAAAATCTTGGATCCTGTGGGCTCAGCCCTGCTGCCACATTGCTCCGTAAATGTGAAGCCTTTATTACAAAACAGAATTAACATTATTGCTGAGCTTAAAGCTTTTGAAGTGATTCAGTTTGTATCCAAAAAAATGAATATTCTTTTGCCTACTATCCAGAGGACTAATGACCTATTAAAAAAAGGGAAATTACATATTCTGTTCCAGGCCAATAAAGTATCGTATATATTCATGGAGAAGCCAAGAATTTTAGGTGCCAAAATAGACCCCCAAAATTAGGTTTGGCTTATCTATGAGTAAATATGGCTTTTTTAAAGTACATCCTATATATACTCACAGATAAACCAATCTGCGGATAAGCAGGCTCTCGAATTTTTAACCAAAATACCACACAAAATGTGCCAACCGTGGATAAGCCACTTGTGAAAGTTAAAACATACAAAAATTTTGAGCGCCGGCTTATCCATGGGTGGCACATTTTTCATGGTATTTTGGTTAAAAATTCGAGAGTCTGCTTATCTGCGGATGGGCTTATCCGCGAGTATGTACAGTAAATTACATGACTGTGCTTGGTCCTTTACTCAGGGTGTTTATCTTATGTGACAATTTGACCCCAAAACTGGTTTCTGCAAACTGTCCAAACCAGATTACAAATCAGTTTGGTTTTAACTCACAGTCCTGTCGGAGCTATCGTTCATACTAGTTTGTTAGTTTAGAGGTAATTGTCTATTCACACTGTGGACGGAGGAAGGAGGGGCTGAGTTAGTGTCGGTGTATCACTTTTCTCTTATTCTATATGATTTGCCATCTGATTGCAGTGAAAAAGTTGATGCGACTATAATGCACTTGATTATAGCCAATTTTAAAAAATGGTTTATTTTTAAATGTGATTTCTCGTGTGTTGCAAGCCATGCTGAGAAACATTTGTTTGAAGAGGGAGGGAGGGAGGGAGG